TTAAAGAAAAAAAAAAAGAAACCCCACACAAATTCCCAAACACTTCCAGTCAGTGCCTCTGACCTTTCAGACAAGATGAATGGATTATATACTTCCTGAATCAACATATATCATCTAAACATTTCAGCTTAGATTTCATTAATCTTGGATAAATGTCTGTGATAGAGGATAAAGAATTTTGTATTTGCTTCTTTTCCTCAGGGATTTTGAAACAAATGTGTTTGACCCATTGGTGCATTACATGGTCAGTGGTCTTCAATATGTAAATGTATTAGTAAAACACACTGCAAAACTTTCAGTAGAAATATCAGCGCTGTCAAAAAGATTAAAATTCTTATAAAGGCTCTTCAAAATAGCACTTCAGAAGAGAATTCTTGTCTGTGATAGAAAGATCTCTGCAGCAAGAAATTAGCAGAAGATTCTTTAAGATTGCCACGTATTCTTCCCCCAGAATTTGTCGCAACTGCATAAACCTCTGTAAATCTAACTGGAGAATTTAGGTGCAGTTTTGTGACAACAGTTTAATTTTCAGTGCTGTTGTGTTATGATTTCTTGCCTTGGTGGGGAGGCTGTATGGGAGATGTTGTAGAATTCGCAAGAAGTCTCGATACTGGTGTCCTAGGGCTGGCTAAAAGATTGCCTAGCCAGTGGTGCGCAGCATGTATCTGCCAGCTGTTTCCCCCTTTCTCACCACACTCATTCTGACAGTCTTGGAAATCTTTGCAATTTCTACCTCCTCTTCTCTGCCTCTCACCTCAGTCTGATAATTGATTTTTTTTTTTTTTTTTTTCCCCTCTTGACCCCCCTGAAATTGCTTTTTTGGATCTCTTTTATCTTTGGATTAATTACAGCTAATACTCAAACAAAACAACAGAAAGTCCCAAACTGTATGCTTTATATTGGAGTACTAAGGATAGGAAGGCAAAGCTGTTGGGACCCTTAGTCGCTCTGGAGGATGGCTGCGGTTCGGTGTTATGAGTAGCTGATGGTACTGGAATGGCATGGGGTGACTGCTTTAGACGGGGGAGTGAAAGCAGATGGCTAATGATTTGTTTTGTGTATCCAATCCGCTGTTTAGTACACTAGGGCAATATATTGAGAAACTTTGCAAAGCTGCTTTGTGATTATTTTTTCTGTTAGTACTGTTATCACAATGATGTGGTTAAGAATGACAACAGTACTGTGAACACAAGCTATTTCTTAAGAGTTTCTTAAATACTTTGCAGTGGGCTTTGAAAAACATTTCTAAGGTTTGCTGCTTTCTGTTGAGACTTATTTTTAACCTTTTTAATATTCTCAAGAGATTGCTGGGAAGATTTATTTTGTGTGTGTTTTAACAGAGATAGATTGTATGCTTTCATCCTGAACTTAAATGCTATTTGAGAAACTTTTACATACTCATTCTAAAGAAAGGTTTGTGAAACATAAGTACATTTGCGGTATTTGAAGTATATAGATTTATCAGAATAAATTTATCATGGGTATCAAAAAAGTGTTTTATGTCAAACCTTCTCTACAACTTTCAGGATTTGGGGCAGGAATAAGCAAATAAATAAATATAAATTGAAAAGCAAGAATAGTTTTCCAGTCAGATGCATGACTCTTGTTTCTCTGAAAGCCTTGGTGGGTTTGACCAGGTAATAGGCAGAGACACTTCATGTTTGTGTGATGAAAGAGTTGTTCAGGGCTTGCCCCTTATTTGTGTAAAAGTTTTATTTCATTGTTTGCATTCAAAACTGCCAATGAACTTTCTGTTGTCTTCACCTGAACAGAGATGGCCCTCATAGGCACCAGTAAAACTGGGTGCTGCGCTTGCTCCCCCTCAACAAAATATCATATAGTCTAAGAAAGGATTTGCTTAGTTGAGAAAGAAGCCTCTTGAGCATTTGCATTTTTGTTTCTCCTGTTCTTCCTAATAATGATTCTGCACATTTTACAACCCTTATTATTGGTCAAAGCTTTGTGTCTCTATCTTCGGAACTTGGCAGGCATCTTTCCTCCCATCTTATTGATGGGGTACGAGAGGCTCACAGTTGGAGGAAAAAAGTGCTCCTAATACAGTATCTTAAAACCCTGTTAGCTAGCTTGTCAGAATGTAATGAGTGTATGTGTTTAGCTTTTTTCTGTTTAGATGGAACTACTCTTGCATACTCCCTGAAATCTATAGATTTATTAATGTAACATAAACAGTAGGCATGCAGCAGTTGTATCTCTTCTGCTGATCTGCAATTTCCCATGCTGCCCATAGGTCTAAGGTACTGGGCAGCAGACATCTATGTCGTTAAACAAGTGGTTGGTGCCTCTGAGGAATAATGGGTGATGCAGCTTTTATCAGAGCCATTTGTCTGGCTCAGGTAGTTTTATGCACATCTTTTAATAATAAGTTCAGATGTGTATAGTGATTTATTTCATTTTCTAGAAGATATGAATATAGAAAACTTTCTTCCCAACAGTGTAGGGCTGGAATAGTTAAATGTTAGTAAACTCAAGCATGCAAATGAGAAAATTCTTCGGTTCTGCTGATGTTCATTGATAATAAATACAGATTGAATTACAGTGCAATGACTGTATTTCTCTTTTCAGGACATAAAGGACGCTTTTACGTGATAGAATGGATGAACAGTCACAAGGCATGCAGGGGCCTACTGCTCCACCATTTCAGCCACAGGTACTTTTTTTTTTTTTTTTTAAAACCAGTTACTCAAGAGTGGATGCTATCATTCCTTAAATAGAAAAAGAGAGAAATTAGAAAACATTATTTCTGGTGGGGACAAAGAAGCTATAAACAGAATGTATTCTGGTGATCTTGAAATTAATTGAATACAAGTCCTGTATTTCATAAGAAAGTAATTACTTTTGCCTCCTACTGCTTCACCAACTTTGAGGGTTTGGAGCTGGAGTGGGAGTAGGAAGCAAAGATGAAGGCAGTTGTTTTCCTGAGAAATGGTGAGCTGTTAAAACACTCTTTTGAAATTGTATCAGAATTACCATATTTATTTCAGTCTGTTACCTTCAGCTTTCTCTTCTTACACCTCCTGGTGGTGATACTATATGAATTAGTGCCATTACCTATTGAAACCAGGCAAGAGAAAATCCTGGTAGCTGTAGTTCTGTTAGAAGGAAGATGCATATGAAATTTAATCTTTGGATATATGTTGATGGTGTGAAACAAAGGATAAAGATTATCTTATAAGAGATATTGTTGACAATATTGGGATACTGGTTTTTGACATTTTTAGGAGGTAATTCTTTGAAGGGAATGCAAGAGCCTGTAGAAGAATACCCTAAAAATATTTATTGTGGTGACTATTTCAAAGTAAAAGCTGGACAGTTCTTTACAAAGCTGAAACCTAAATTTTGTAATTTTCTTGTTAACAGCATAGGTGATGGGTCAATTTGTGCCCTTTATTTTCAAAAACTAAGGTGAATGTTACCCTCATCACTGAAAATTGTTGATGAGAAACATGAGAATATTTAGCCAAACACTGTAATGGCTTAGTCCCAACTAGTTTGAAAACACCATTTCACAAAATCACAGAATGGTTGAGATTGGAAGGAAACTGGAGGTCATCAGCCCTCCTGCTCAAGCAGGATCTCCTAGAGCAGGTTTCCTAGGACCATGTCCAGACTGCTTTTTGAATATGTCCAAGGACGGAGACTCCACAACCTTCCTGGGCAACCTGTGGCAGTGCTCAGTCACCCCCACAGTAAAAATGTGTTTGCTGATGTTCAGACGAAACCTGTTTTTCAGTCTGTGCCCATTGCCTCTTGTGCTGTCAACTGGGCACCACTGAAGAGGGCCTGGCTCTTTTAACACCCTCCCTTCAGGTATGTGTACGCATTGATGAGATCCCCCCTGAACCTTCTCTTACCTAAGCTGTATGTTCTCAGTGCTCTCAGCCTTTCCTCGTATGAGAGATGCTCCAGTGCCCTGATCATTAGTGGCCCTTTGGACTCTCTCCAGGATGTCTATGTATGGGTGGCCCAGAACTGGACACAGTGCTCCAGGTGTGGCCTCACCAGTGCTGAGTAGAGGGGAAGGGTCACCTTCCTCCAGCTGCTGGTGGCACTCTTCCCAGTGCAGCCCAGGACATCGTTCGCCTTCTTTGCCTCAAGGGCACATTACTGATGCATGTTCCACTTGGTGTCCACCAGGACCCCCAGGGTCTGGCCTGTAAAGCTGTTTTCTAGCAGGTTAGTGCCGAACATGTGCTGGTGCGCGGGGTTATTGCTGCCCAGGTGCAGGTCTTTGCATTTCTCTGTGTGAAACTGCATGAGGTTCCCATCAGCCCATTTCTCCAGCCTACTGAGGTCTCTCTGGATGGCAGCATGACCCTCTGTTTTGTGTCATCAGCAAACTTGCTGAGGGTGCACTTTTCCCTATCATCCAGATCATTAACGAAGGTGTTGAGCAGGGTCGTACCCAGTATTGACCCCTGAGGTGCACTGCTAGTTACTGGCTTCCAACTAGACTTCATGTCATTAGAAGCTTATTTTCTATTTGGCGTTAAGTGCTTGAAATCTGTCATAGTCTGTTATCTACCTGTTATCTTTATAAGTGTTCAGAAAACGGGTAGATGTGGCACTTCGGGACATGGTTTAGTCTAGTCTACCCTTGATTGGTTTAGAGTGGACTTGGTAGTGTAGGTTAATGGTTGGATTGGATGATCTTAAAGGTCTTTTCCAACCTAAACGATTCTATGATTCTATGATCTACAAAGTTTAAACACTGTACTTCATTTACCTCACAAGGACATTTTCTAAGTGCAGATGTCTAAGTACTCCCAAACCTCTTACATACTGTAAAAATAGTCTGATACAGTAGACTTCAAATTCTAGAACTTCCTCAAGAGCAGAATGGGAGCTTTTTTAGCATCTGAAGGGAGAAAAATGACTCTGTTGCTAGACCTGGTAAACCAAAGGCAGCATATATCACTTACTGTTTGGTTTTGGTGTTCTTTTTTTATCCCTAAGCTGAAGGACAATAGTTTACTCTTCTT